AAAACAAAAAAAGAGAAGAACGAAATTCAATACTGCAAGAATGAAATCCTTGATTCACTCTTAAGAATTTGCATTTTACAGGCTTGAACACCGTGAATTCTTATAAGAAACGTGTTACGAAGGAAATATTCTTTAAAAATACAGTATTCTTTTCATCTGAATTCAACGCATTATACAATTCTATAATTAAACAATATGAATGAATATTATGAATAAAATATTCTAATGCTAAAAAGTGATATTAATTTAAATTTTATAGAATTTATTTCATGTTTGTTGTTATTACTTTCAGTTGTTCTTTGGATGAAACACAGTTTAATCTTGAAAAATATTTTCTTGTAAAGAAAAAAATTGTATATCAATTACTGTTTTACTTACATCGATGCTCCTCATTTTAAAATATAATTGAAGAAGCAGGAGAGAGATCCATTCCTTGGATATAGAAATAAGGATCAATGCAAAAGCATGAAGATATACAAACACTTTTATAATGTTTTACAGAAATTGTTTACTTTAATATGTCAGCCCTGATTAACTGTGGTTGAAAATATTAGTATTGAATAACATATATTTATAAAGGGTTTTCCGCTAAGGGCACTTCAACTTTGACAGTGTATAGTGGCCGTGTTAGTGAAGCTACAGCTGTCAAATTTGGAGGTTACAGTAATTAATGCTGGGCAAATCATCATGGAAAATTAGTATTGAACAATGCGTGCGAAACATTAAACTTTTCTATCAAAATGAGTGCTCAGTTTAAGCTATGTTCTGTGTGTATGTGATTTATAGTACACACTATTGCCCTGTTGAGGTGACTATTTGTCGTTTGGTGGATAAATTGGAATCAACTGGTTCAGTAAACAATCAAACAACACCCGTACATTGTTGAAATGTGACCTGTCTGCAGAAAAGATTTCTTCAGTGAACAAGTGTGTGCAGAATAACCTGCAGCAATCAACTCCTTGTTGCACAGAAGAACTTGGCCTTTGCACACCTCAACTTGGCAAATTTTGCGTCGGGACTTGGGCCTTCACCTGTACAAAAGTCAATTGATCCAGGAACTGAAGGTAAACGACCATAGGCAGGTGTCAAGCATTTGTTGACTGGGCTCTGGAGCAGTTTGAAGTGGACCCCAATTTTGGACGGAAAATCATCTTCAGAAACGAGGACCTTTTTGGATGAATGACTACATTAACAAGCAAAATTGTCACATTTGGGGAATAACAATCCACATGAGACTTATCAGTTGCAAATGAATCCAGAAAAAGTCACTGTTTGGTGTTGATTTCGGTCTGGCAGGGTCATTGGCCTGTAATTCTTCCAAAATGAAGCTGGCACTGCCATAACTGTCACTGGCAAGAGGTACAGGTCGATGATAACCAATTTTTTGTGGCCTAAATTGGAAGACAGGGATCTCAATGCCATGTGGTTCCAACAAGATGGAGCTACCTGCCACAGTGTATGCAACAATGGACTTCTGCATGATAAATTCGACAGCATGATTATCTCGTGTTTTGATGTCAACTGGCCACCTAGATCGTGTGATTTAATGCCATTAAACTTTTTTGTGGGGCTACGTTAAATCACAGGTCTATGCAAATACGCCGTAGACAATTGATGCCTTAAAAGTCAACATAACCAATGCCATCAATGGTATCGAGCCTGATTTATGCAGTTGAGTCATCAGAAATTAGACCTCTCAGATATGCACCTCCCAGCAAAGCCATGGCAGCCATTTGCCCTACATTACATTATACATATATAATGTAATCAAATACTCTTTCAAGTAAAAAAATAAAATTAATGATATCTCATACACAAACTTGTTTTATTTAAATTAAATTTGTTTTTTAGTTAATTATTATTAGTGGTTAATTATTGTTCCAATTGCAGAAAATTAATTATTATACACACACAAAATATTATTTAAAACAATTCTTTTAATTCAGATAAAAGGAACCAGAAGAAATTTTCATGTAAACACTGTAAGAATACATCCAGGAAGAAAGCCTTACTATTGTGATCAATGTAAACAGAAATTTACATGAAAAGAACACTTAGACACTTTAGGACACACTGGAGAAAAGCCTCACACTTCTGACGAGTGTAAACAAACGTTTAAACAAAAAGGTGCTGATATCTGAGGGTGCGACTGTGCAGATGCAAGCAAGTGAATTTTCCAAGTGAGTGAGAATATGCGGCAAGAAGAGGTGATGACATTTCACGCTCTCCGTTTGTTGCTCTCATCTCTGTGGTTGTAATAAACAAGAGCAAGAAACAGAGAGAGTAAATCCTCATCACCTCTTCTCGCCACATATTCTTGCTTGCTTGGAAAATTCGCTCACTCGTGTCTGCATAGTTGCATCCTGAGAGGTCACACCCTGCAGCATTAGTTTTCGAACCTAAAGAAGAATTTGAAAATAAATAAATAAATTAATACAACACAAATAAAAATTTTAATTAGTAACTTTAAAAAAGAAAGATATAAATTTATATAACCAGTTTTCATAATTTAACTTANTATTTTAATATAAATTTATGTACCAAATACATTATATTATAAACTTTTAATGTACATATTTGTCTGTATTATGGTCGCTGGTCTTTTGGTAAGATGTCGCATCCGAGGGACCCACCTCTGTCCTGCTAACGGGTATTATAGTCACGTCAGCCCTCCAAATACAGTTATCCTGACATGGATAACTGTCACTCCTCATGTTTTGTCTGTAATCTTAAAATTTTGAATACTGATTCACTTTCATGCTCACATTGTTTGAAAAATGCTCATTTTTATTGTTATGGTATTGGTTGTGCTACTTTCCATAAATTTAGTAAAACTTATAAAAAAAAAAAAGTTGGAAATGTGGATCCTGTAGATTAGTGAAGACTACAAAAGGAAATGTAAATTCAATTTTGGAATTGGGACAAGAAAATGATTTAGGTGAGTCAACTCACTTTATCTCTCCAGTTAGTGACAAACCGATTGATTGTAATAATAAGCAATGTAACTTGGATTAAAACCATAGTTTATTTTTCGATGCTTTAACCTCCTGCTCAACTCCAATGACACCTGAGCCTAAAAGGTCAACCTGGTTTGATAAATTAGTTTTAGAAATTACACAAATTTAGAGGTATGGAGAATATAAATAAACAAATAAAAGCAGAAAGGATTCAATTCAATTTTTATCAGATAAATTTGATAAAATTAACGAGAATCTTAACTCTAGAGATAAACAATGAAAGGCTTTTTGATAAAATTTCAGTTTTAAAACNTATATGTTGCAGTCAAAACCAGTTTTTAGTTAGGATGCATTTTAAGTAGTTGAAACTAGTTTATACTGGATGTCTTTGTTATAACTAGAATTTACTGCTAGTCAAAAATGAATTTGAGTTAAAACTAGTTTTAACTAGACAAAACAGATTTTTACGAAATGGCTTAGTAAAAACTATTTAGACCAAGGTCAAAGTTCATTCAGCTAACATGTGATAATGCTTACAGCCTCTAATTACAATAGTAGCCAGTCAAGAAGACTTAGAGATGCAGCTAGTATGAGTGCAGAGCCTCAAATAATACCAGCTAGTGACAAAGATCCAAAATCTGTAGCTAATGCGAATCGACAGACCAAATAATAGCAGTCATAGAAAAAGTTCACCTAAACTTGGAATAACAGGCCCAGAGAATGAAATTGGCTTCGGATTCAATACATGCTCCTGTAGAAATCAGTGATAATATAATTATACCAATTCCTGATTTTGACAGAACAAAAGCAGTTCTCTAATATTATCGGAGTGATTCTTCAAAAGGATGAACAGGGTTTGCACAAATTTGGAACAAAATATGGGATACTCATTAAATTGCATTGCAAGTATGTATTGTTCAATTGTGCCACTGTTTAATGTTGCTAACTATGCTGTTAATTCATTAATATTTTGAGGTCTAATTATTATGAAAAAAAATTTTTCCTTTTTTGTGCACAATTTACCATAATTATTAATAATTAAAGAATCAATTTAAAATAAGTATGAACCTATTTCAAAACTTAAATGTACTTGATTAGGTCAGAATTCAACATGTCCAAAGAAAAATTCTTGCTACTGGAAGGAGTGCCAGAGACAAATATATCTTTAAGAACTGCTGCCAGGAGAGCAGCCTTAGGAACAGGCCAAGGATTTGTTTGCTGTTTGTGTAAGAAGACATGTATGTTGAAGAGGTGCTTTTGTAAGAAAAAAGGCAACTTTTGTAACTCGAAATGCCATGATAGTTTGTTTTGCAATAACAAGTAATGTAAACTTAATTTTTATATTTATATTCCTTTATTGAATGATTATTTTTGTATGACTTTAATTAATATTACTGATGTTGTTTTAGTGTCAATATTGCCAACATGGCTCTGTGATTTTCCTTAAAAATGTTTCTATAGTGTATGATTAATTTCGTATCACTTTAATTAATTTTAATAACACAGACGTATGACCAATATTTTCAATAAATATTGTATTAAATAATACAAATGTTTTAATCCCAATCATCACTTTATTTAATTCTCCCAAACATATTTATGTAGCTAAAATTGGTTTTAAGTAATGTTCAAAGTAAAAACTAGTTTCATCTAAAATCCAAATATGTACAGCAGTAAATTCTAGTTACAACTAGAAAATTCTAGATGTAACAAAGACATCCAGTATAAACTAGTTTCAACTAGTTAAAATGCATCCTAACTAAAAACTGGTTTTGACTGCAACACACACACACACACACATATATACATATATATATATATATATATAAAGTCGAAAATTACACACACTCCACTTTCTATTTAAGTGTTAGATTATTAACATTTATTAAATTTACTTATACATTTTTTTTATTGAAATAATCACTTTTAATAAATTTTGTATACAAATTAAAATCATTTAAACAATTAAAAAGTTCTATTGTAACCTATTATACTAAAACATTCTAAAATAACTTAAAAAACTACCTTGTGCTTTTTCTCTTTAAGAGTCTAGCACTTTCATTTGAAATAAAATAAGTAATTTATTATTATTTGTATTATAGTTAAAGAATACTTACAAATAGCTTGAATGATCATTGTGTCACCTTCATCGGGATTGAATTTCAATCTGTATTGAGCCAAGCCATACACAAAATAAAACAACAAAGAAATATTTTAGTTTACAAACTCTTCATTTTAGAAAAAAATGAATTTTTGAATATATTCTCAGAGGTAGTGACGAGAAATTAACATCAAGAATTTACAGTATGTAATATTTTAATCATTGAAAATAATGTACTATATACTCTCACTAATCGACTCTGCTTAATCTGAACCCATTTAATTTTCTTTCCATAAATAAAAAAACCAAATACTGTAATTATTTTTTTTTTTAAATATGATGCATCAATAAAATTAATATAAACTACATATTTTAATATAAATTTATGTACCAAATACATTATATTATAAACTTTTAATGTACATATTTGTCTGTATTATGGTCGCTGGTCTTTTGGTAAGATGTCGCATCCGAGGGACCCACCTCTGTCCTGCTAACGGGTATTATAGTCACGTCAGCCCTCCAAATACAGTTATCCTGACATGGATAACTGTCACTCCTCATGTTTTGTCTGTAATCTTAAAATTTTGAATACTGATTCACTTTCATGCTCACATTGTTTGAAAAATGCTCATTTTTATTGTTATGGTATTGGTTGTGCTACTTTCCATAAATTTAGTAAAACTTATAAAAAAAAGTTGGAAATGTGGATCTTGTAGATCAGTGAAGACTACAAAAGGAAATGTAAATTCAACTTTGGAATTGGGACAAGATAATGATTTAGGTGAGCAACTTTACTTTATCTCTCCAGTTAGTAACAAACTGATTGATTGTAATAATAAGCAATGTAACCTAGTGCTCACTCCAATGACACCCAAGTGTAACAAGTCAACCCAGTTTGATAAATTATTTTTAGAAATTAAACAAATTTATAATTTATCTGGAGAATATAAATCAAACAAATAAAAGCATAAAGGATTTGATTCAATTTTTATCAGATAAATTTGATAAAATTAATGACCATATTAACTCTCTAGAGATAAACAATAAAAGACTTTTTACTGATATTTCAGATTTAAAATAAAAAAATTNTCTGTGGTGTTAATGTTCTAGTCGAACTGCTAGATGTCACTAGTTTTCTCTAATGCCGCTATGGTACATGCTAATTCACGAAGGTTTCCACTATTGTTGTACAAACTACTTTTTTACTTTCCTGACTCTGGTAAGAAATGATCCCCAAGATATTTACATTTTTGGAGTCAAAATTGTCATTTTTGGACTCAGGATCTTAAAACGTTGAGAAATGCAAAAAAAAATTCAGGGTTTTTTTTGGTGTGTGTGTAAATTTTGGTGGTTAAAGATTGATGGGATGGGAAGATAGACGGGGTCATGTGTCATATTCTATGTAGGGTCATACTTAATGATTCTACTCATTATTAGCATTTACAACTTTTTTTTTTTTTTTTTTTTATAAAACTTAAGAGTTTTAAAGGAGTGGAAAATATTAAATACTTGGACTAAAAATGGTATAATTTACATAAAGGTTAAAGCAACCTCTCCACCTTCAAGAGTGTCTACATTTGAGTATATTGAAAGTTTATTTCCTGATGGACGATCTATTAAAACATAAGATAACTAATTTTGATAGGGACAGACTATATATTATAGTAATGTAGGATGCTTAAATAATAAAAAATAATAAATATCAGAAAATAAATCATATTATTTCTGGATATGATTGTAATTTTGGAATACTAACTTTTTGTGAGACATGGACTAATGAAACTCACTCTCCATTTAAAATAAATAATTTTAATATGGAAAAAATCGAAAGACAACCTAACCAACATGGAGGTATAGTTTTGTATATGAATAAGGATTTGATTTATGAGGTAATACCTAATTTGACATTTACTAAAAAATACATAGATGTGATGACAATATCTATCAATAAAGTTTTGATTGTGGTTATTTACTGTTCTCTGGCTAAAACCACAGTTTATTTTTCAATGTATTAAATTTTATAATTCATTTCAATATTACTAAATTAAGGAACTATAAATTTCTTATCATTGGCCATTTTAATATAGACCTTCTTAAAGATTCTTCGATAAGTACTTGTGACTTGTTAAGCTTTTCTGAAAATTTATCATTTTTGGCTGATTGGAAGCAACCAACCAGATTTGATAAAGACACTCACTCACTCCTTGATTGACTTCAGGTTAACCAATATTAGTCAGAATTTTTAATTCATCAGGACTTAATTTCGGATCGTATGCCTATAGTTTTCTTTCTCCCAAGAAAAGATACGGAAATAGGTGGTAATTCGTTAAAAACATGTAGGAAAATAAATAATATGTCAATACATTTTTTTACATAATGCACTGTCAGCTTGTTTTGCTTGAGATTACTATTATTCCTCAGATCTTTCTGTTAACCAATTGATGGATTACTTTCAGATATCCTGCAGATTTTTATTAATATCTTCCCAAGATAAAGCAAAAGGCATTTTTGGCAAAAATTATCTCAAGCAATAGAATAAAGTTAATTAGCCAGAAGAGGAGGGTGTTTAAATAATTAAACAAGTGTTGTATTTCAGGAGATTGACATGCAAGATTAACAGAAGTGAGAAGGCTATGCAAGGATATTAGAAATAAAATTAGGAAAGAAGAGGTAGATTACTATGACAGACAATTCTCTAATATATGTTCCTCAATCGAGTTTTGGCAAGAGATTAAACATCTGCTTATTGTTGTAGTTAAGACACAGAAGGACATACAAATTAATCAGTTGAAGTATAATGTACAACGTTTTTCAAAATGAAGAAAAAATAAAAATGATACAAAACAACCTTTATTAGAACATTATACAAGTTACCTTATAATTCTCTGTGACCTCTTATTATAACCAGACCAATACTGACAAATTAAAAGTTTTATATAAAAAACAAGCTCTTTTAGACAGCTTTAAATTAATAAAGGTTGGCAGGAAAGAATTTTATATAAGTGATGAGTTAAATAAATACTTTAGGCTCTCTAACTACAATTATCGATGGAAAAATAATTTAATTCTACCAAAAGTTAAGCAGTGTTTTGGCTGAGATGCACCAATTTACCAATTCATATATAACTGGAATGCTTTTAAAAAAAGAATATAAAGATTTGAGAATTTATGGGCAATTTAGACAAGTTGTTAAAAATTTGAACTGTATTTAGTTTTGTGTATTTTTTCTTTTTTCTGTTCTTTATTTTTTTGTGTGTTTGTTTTGTTGATTATTTTTATATNTGGTGATCAAGTTCCAGACAGTCTTTCTTCAGGAGAGTGGAGTAGAGGTCCGAATTGTTTTACCAGCCTGGAGGCTTTCCTATGGCGATCACCCCATACTTTAGGCTCTCTAACTACAATTATCCATGGAAAAATAATTTAATTCTACCAAAAGTTAAGCAGTGTTTTGGCTGAGATGCACCAATTTACCAATTCATATATAACTGGAATGCTTTTAAAAAAAGAATATAAAGATTTGAGAATTTATGGGCAATTTAGACAAGTTGTTAAAAATTTGAACTGTATTTAGTTTTGTGTATTTTTTCTTTTTTCTGTTCTTTATTTTTTTGTGTGTTTGTTTTGTTGATTATTTTTATATCTGTATTTTTTTTGACACTGGAAAAGGCTAATGGCCATAATGTCATTTAGATAAATAAATAAATATTCCCTTAGCTTTATATTCCTCTAACCTGAATTATCCTATACAATAATTAATTTAAACTGACAAGAGTATACTGTACTTCAAAAAAACTAATTGTATCAAACGAAAATTAATTTTTACTTACCTGTAAGTAAAACATAATGTCATTTTTGCCATTTCACTACTTGGTATACCAGAAATTAAACTATCCATTTTTGATCTAATACACCTCATTAGTTCTTGAACATTACTATTTGAAACACAGTTTATATCCAACTTATCCTATTTTGAACAAAAAAATCCAGTATTTAATCAATTAATTATAAAAATTTAAGAATAAGTTTTAAATTTATTACATAGTAACACTTTAACAAGTTCTCTCTAATACTCAAATCAATTAATTCTAATTAAGGACTGCAGTATATTTTAAACATATTTTTCTACAATTCTTTTAATAGTATAAAATACAAACACTGAACCAATTTACGGTGTGGAACGATCGACTAGTCATAAAAAACAAACGTTTTCGAACCCCTTTTTTATGATTAGTCGATTGTTCCACACTGTAAATTGGTTCAGTGTTTGTGTTTGATAAATAGTATAAACAAAAGTAAGGAATAATTACAAGATTAATTAAACTTCTTTTGTTAAAACTAAACTTATGATAGTCAAAGACAATATATTCAACATATTCTTATATAATTAATAAATCAAATTTTGATGTCAATTTCTATTTCTGTATTTATATAGTTCAGAAATATGGTAATACCCTAACTTTTGTGATTTTCAAATCTCGTCGATTCGTCTTTTGTTTGAGCGCCACACAACTCGTAATTACTCACTCCCCCCACACTATTGTTCAGCTTACATGTTTGGACGTGTCACACAGAATCGACACACAGCTACAATTTATTTTGTGTTATTTATTTCTGTTTTTGTTATATCTACGGAGACTTGAGAGACTATGTGGTGATTTCTTGTAACCGTGAACGAATCAAAAGATGAGATAAGATTAACGAGAACATTTATTAGCTTACATACACCCAACTTGGATTTTAGACAAATTGCGAAATTATACCCTGATTTATGCGAATTTGACTTACGTGGTTATCACTTGATCCCCCATATCGTGCAAGTTCAGGGTATTACTGTATAAGATTTTATAAGAATTACAACTTAATTTAATATTGAAATAAATAAAAAGAAAGTTAAAAATATGAATTTTTTTATTTATAAGACTAGAAAGTATATTTAAACTTTAATATGAAGACTGTCAATTAAGTCATGGCAAAAGAATTTTTCAAAATATAATTTTATTATATAAATCAGTTATGCAGGAATTTCTTCTCCCCTATTATTTAAAAACTTTTTGACAAATCCTCAGAAGATGCTTTACTCCACATGCTGAATTCTTTTACAGGATGTCACCCCTGATCTCATCTTCATTGTGAAGCCATTTTTCATGTAGAGCTTCTTTGACCTTTGTAATCAAATCAAAATTATAGGTCTTCATATTGTGATAACTGAGCAGTAGCTCGACCCTTCTTACTTTCTTCGCTTCAGGAGATGGCCTATGTTGTAAACGAGTGGGAGGGTTAGTGAGGTCAGGATAAAGTGTTGATAGTACACAAGGAGGACAGGCAGGACATATAAAATAACATATTTAATAAACAACAAAAATTTACACAAAGCGAGTACAAAAGCAAATAGATACAATAGATGAAAAGTTAAAATTTCTAGGTTGTGACAATGATTCTTTGCTCTTGTTGATAGATCTTTGCAGTTCTGGACCTTTATCGGTAAGAATATGCTGAATACGTTGTCCATTGGATACATGGGTCCCCAAAATTCTTTAAGTTAACTTAACATTAATATAACTTATAACCAAGAGAGAGAGAGAGAGGGAGTTTTTCTTGCCACAGCATAAGAGTAATTATCTCTTATGCTGTGGTGATCAAGTTCCAGACAGTCTTTCTTCAGGAGAGTGGAGTAGAGGTCCGAATTGTTTTACCAGCCTGGAGGCTTTCCTATGGCGATCACCCCGAGGCATGGGTATGACTCCTTTTTATACCCATTTCGCACGAGGACTGTCGGGGTTTCTGAGGCAAGGTGGTCCAAGTCCAATTTGGGTCTGTCATTTGTTTATGCTAATTGTCAGAAATCAAACATTTCATCAAATTTATTACTTCTTTCTATCCAGTATTGTTACTCATTCTACCTCATGAAATTGATAACAGCTGTCAAACAACACGGAATTAATTGCTGTAGGTGGCTAAGGTCAGGGTATGTAGTGCAACTTTAGTAATAATTGTTCATTTGGTGAGTCATCTGATTGGTGTTATCAATGTTAAAATCAGACGAAATAGGAAGTGTGTGGGTTTGTTCAGTTCAGAATCACCTTGTCGGTGATCTTTTTGTTACCCGAGTAACAAGTTTAGGTTCTTGTTAATTGGCTATTTACTTATAGATCATAACGAAGGTGGAAACGTATTTGAAAGTGTAAAAGGTCACTTCTCGAAAATTGACGCAGAAAATTGAAGGGAAAAAGGGTCTCAATCTCCCACAAAGGGAGGAAACTGGAGGAAGAAGGGAAATAATGATTGGGGAAAAAAATTGAAGCTTTAAAATTCACAAAAGATCTTAAATCCTGACAATATTAAATGAGTTGGGGATGTTCCAGTACTTTCCAGCTTCACTTAGAAAAAATACTGTATCTTTGCCATGCACATGACAGTTAACATTATTGTGCAGAATGATTAGTAGGTCTTGCATTGACTCAGATTGCATATATCACATAATTGACTAAGATCTGTTTGGAAATGCTTACTAGTTCGACTGCTGAGACAAGACACCACCTATAAAAGTTTCTGGTGATTTACCAGTTGCTACAAGACCCACCAATCTTTGAGGATGAGTTAGAGAGTGACCACCGCTGATATCATTCCCCACTATCAACTAGCCAACTGGTAAGTGTTTCCAAACAATTCTAAATGGTGATGTTCTACAAATGATCCACAATAACTGCAATTAACTGTTGTCCACTGTATATTTTCACATGTACAAACCAACAATATACAATAAGCATCATAACCATGACATTTTCACACACTATTCTTAACTTCTTAGATTGGGATAAATCAGAATGTTTCCAATCATTACCTTACTGTTTAAGTTTTACTTCATATGACCAAGACCACGTTTCAGCTATTACCGAGGATGTGTACTCAAATATTACTCAACTTTACTGTTATATCTTTTAATTGGCAACACTGAAATTCACAAGACCCTTTTCAGTTACCCACAATTCTTTTTGATGCTGTAAAATTGTTTATACAAAAAATTCGAAAAAATGGCACTGCATAAAATTGGAATATTCATGTCCATGTAAAAATACTTTCTAAGTAGGAGAAGTTGACTTCCAGAGATATCATGAAATCACTAAAATGTAGTTTCATTGCTATAAGTCAGAAAATGGTATGCATTATTATTAGTTCTTGTTAAAAAAAAATGATGGAATGTGGAAAATGAGGATCATTTGAAAAAATCTAGGCCTGCACACTACTAAGCCAGTATTGAGAAGGTCTGCAAACTACTTTCTACACCACACACTCCAATTATCAGAAACATTTCCAAGAAAAATGGAACTTGCCAGAGGATTGCACAAAACATAATTCATAAGGATTTGAAAGCAACAAAAGTATAAAAGACTAAAGTACACCACCATTCTGCAGAACACAAACAGAATTGCAAGACAAATGTTCACAAATTGTATGTAATGACACCTAACGGCAGGTAGATCTGAATTTATGGTGATATTGGATGAAGCATATTTCTATTTAAGCCACTGCAAAGGAGTTTGGAACACATGTTGCTCTTTTCCTGATCAAAATTTTCCCAAAATTTAGTTGGCAGAATGCTACATGAGCTGGTCAGAAGGTTTCGTGATCTTTGAAGGAATGATTGGAAGAGGAACACTTCCTCTTATAAAAGTCCCTAATAAAGTTAAAGTGAATGCCAACTATTAAAATCAGCAATGTAGCAAAGCCATATTTAGAAAGAGAAATTCCTTGTATATACCCTGAAAAAGATGCACAAAGTTGTCTTCCATCATGACAAAGCCTATTCTCACACTGCAAAAGAAGCTGAGTATTGCAAACATCTTAAAAACTTCTACAGATCTCAATTATATAAAGAAGTGATATAATAGTAATATCTATCTATTTATTACTATTAAATCACTGGACTGAAGCCTCTTCAGTTTTGGATTCTTTGACGACAACTTTTCCACCAACATGCTACAACTCTGAGTGGGCTTTGTTTGCCAAACAGCAAGAAGCTTACATTGAACAGGTCAAAGCAATTTACAGAAGGGTTTTTAAAGACATTAATTAATTTTGAAGTTGAGTAATATTTGCATATACACTCAGTACAATAATTCACTTAAAAGTGTCTCCTCTTTTTTGTAATGTGCCAAGTAAATTTAAGCAATAGCCTATTGTTGCTATTTTTTTGTTTGTTCTGTTAAGTTTACAGCAAGGCAATACTTGGGTGATCTGACTAAGGCAAGGCTGCCCAAACCTGACCCGCCAACACATTTGAATTTGCCCGCCCACAGTAGCAGTTGGTTGACACCATGTGCGATGTCGTGCTACCAATAATGCCAACCGCCACGTGACATGATTGGTCGAATGCGGAATGAACTATGACTTGAGTCACTGCCACACCGCTGTTAATACCTAATCTATGCGTTTATTACACTTGTTCTACTTTCGTGTATTAAAATTAAATTGTTATCACCAATTATTGAAAGATTATTAGCTAATAAGCCCCTTTATAGGTCTCATTGATGTATTTTTTATTAGGTATTATTAAAACATGTGCAACTTAAAGCTTTGTTTGATTCAAATACCTATCCATTTATAGAAGAATCATGAGTGTAAGCAAGTATGATTCACTAGGTGGCCACCTAGAGAATCATACTGACATGTAATTGAAATTATAGCCTGCCTCCAAAATGAATTGGGTAGCCCTGGCCTAAGGGGTTTGTATGCCTTTCAGGTCTTTTAAGAGTAACTGGCCACTATTTAGGCATTACAGAGGTGGAGAAAACCTAAAACACTCCATGTGGCTAGTCAATCCTGGCAAGGCATGAACCCATGACCAACCTCTCAATGTTCAGGGAATGGAGCCACTTGGCCACTGGCAGGCCTGCTATTTTTTTTTTTACATCAATCAATTCTTCGCAAAAAGAATAAATTATTGGGAAAGATGTCGGTGCCATTTGGTCAGTAGTCACGTCACCAAATGGCACCGACAAATGTCACGCGACACATCCAACATTTAGAGCACGTTCGTAAAGTAGAACGAGTTAAGCGAGAATGACGTCATCGTTATTCTTATTTCGTTAGACTTTTCAAACAATTTGTTTATAACTAAATGGATGTTTCTAAAATTAAAGATATGAATGTTGCTACTGCAGCATTATCCAAAATATTTTTCTCAGATTGCTTCGGATATCGTCAGGCGCCATTTTCTTAACGAAGTAAACTAACTCTTTCCCTCATGAACTTCGTTAGAGTTTCGTTCGAAACGTCATCACCGCAGAGAATGCGCACTAAGCAAGACTATTTTCCAACGATTCATTACTAAAGGCAGCCATTCCTTTAATACACGTTAAGTTAATCCTTTGAGGGTGTCTGACCTTGGGAAACTTCAGAATTTCCTATCACCCATACACAAAGAAGTAAATCTCTCAGCAGAGATGTAGCTAGGGTGGGGCAAGTAGGGCACCCCTCTGCGAGTGGCACCAAATGGTCTCCAAGACAAACAAGATTTGTTTATGGAGGAGAGGGGTGCCAATATAGTGTCGTGCCCCAGGCGCCAGTTTTGTTCACTATGCCATTGTCTCTCAGTCAGTCGGCCATGGCATCTGATGACGACATACTGGCTGTTCTTGGATGTTTATTGGCAACAAATTCTATTAAAACTCGCTGAAAAAAAGTATGCATAGAAGTCTATGGTGTAAATAGTAGTAGTAGTGGTGGTTTGGGTAGCACTTATCACAAAATTAATTTTTCACATAAATAATTTTTTAATGGAATTATTTCAGATCACAAAATTAATTTTTCATATGAATAATTTTTAATGGAATTATTTCAGATCACAAAATTAATTTTTCAAGAGAAATCTTGGGCTATAGATTCTGTTAAAAAGCATCAATTATCAGCAAAAGATCAATGGCAAGTCGATTTTACTACAAAAAAATTCATGGATTAAATTTTAGAGGCAAATATATATTAATAATTCTCAATCACATCCGATATTAGTACAAATTGTAAACATTATTATTGCAAATTAATTTAATAATTAAAAAGAATTTATTAAACTTTGTCTTATTTTAAGTTNATAATTCTCAACCACATCTGATATTAGTACAAATTGTAAAAATTATTATTGCAAATTAATTTTATAATTTAGTAAACTTTGTCTTATTGTTAAAATATTATTTTAAGTTGTCATGTTTTAATTTACTTGGATATTAAAACAATAAATTTTTTAAAATGTAAAAGAAAATGATATAGAGTATCAAGATGTTTTATGAAAACGGAAGAAATGAATTGAGAAGTTTTCTAAATATTAAAATTATTTATAATTTTAATTTACTCAAGAAATTTTCAATCTGAAAATAATTTATAACCTGAAAAATTAATTTTTTAGGTTATAAATAATAAAAGTTAACTAAACTGCACAAGTGCGAAGACAAAAGCGACACAAAGAAAGACAAGTTTTAGAAATGTTGGAGTATTGTTTAATTCTTACCTTAAATATTGCACATCCTGCCGGAGATTCAAACAAAACTAACATCTTCGACCTTCTCATGAAAGTCCTTCTCATTTATGACTACGACTCAAAACTTAATCGCCGCGAGAACAAAAGCGACACGACGCACATAGGTACAAAGAAAAAATCAAACTAAGACTTGCTGCCAGACCGTTTATCGGATTACGATTAACCAATTTTAAAAAGTAGCCGAAAAATAGCCATTACCAACTCGTATATATTAAATCATGATTTAAAAATACATTTAAAGTTTTATTGTTTATTTTGCATATTGAAAAATTATTTTTAATTAAAAATTTTGAATTTAGTTTTTATTATTTTTAAACGTTTTTCATGGAAATTAAGTAAATTATTTTGAATATTACGAGTATTTCTAACAGCTGAATAGTCGGCGTGTTGCTCTGAAAGATTCAAATTCCAGTTCTTCATTAAAATAATAAATTTGTATTTATATTTTTTAAATAATAAAATATGATAAAAAGATGAAGTGCTTTTTTACTTAATTAATACGAAAAAAATTAATGGAATCAGTGGTGATATTCGAAATATTTAACAAAGGGTTCGCTAATAGAAAAGTTTTCCTAAGCCCCAAGCCCGAGATATCTCGGGCATGTTACATAGCGATAATAAAACTCGGGCGTTTGGACCCCCTAAAAAGTTTTTGTTTTTTTTTTATTTTTGAAATGTTTTTTAAGTCTCCACATTTTTTCAAAATGCGCGAAAAAATTTTATCGCGATTTTAATTCACCTTTAATGATGCACGATTCACGCTTAATTGCTTTTAATTTGTTTTTTAATGGGAGTTTGATATCAAATTTTATTCATCGTTCTAAACTTGTAGTGCACAAATTTTCCTTCGGTAAAGTTATTTAAAGCTAGTTTCTGACGTCAAAAACGACCTGCGATCGTTTTTTAATTTTTTTAATTAATAGATTTTATTATATATAAGTTTAATTAAGTCGGGGGTCGGAAATCGCAATAAAAATTTTAATTTTTTAAAAATATTTAAAAATATACGGCTAGCTAGTATTCACCCTACTATAAACTCATCTCCTCCCGAGACTTCTGAGAATGTCCCGGGAAATCCAACTCCAACTGTGTTCAAGGTCATCCAGCTGTGTAAACAATGACTCATCAGCGTCAGATTTCACAGAAAGACCAGACAAAGGAAAATAAAATCTGAAGCTTTTTCTTCAAAATTAACTCATTTCTTTCGTTTTTTTCAGTTTTAAGTATTTTTTATGTTTAATTACATTAATATCAAAAATTGCTAGAGTCCCAAGGAGTTAACTGCTTTCCCTATGACTTTTTCTCAAGAAAAAACTTTTCTAAATCATTTATTTTATCATTAGGTATTATTATAATAATAGACAGATGTCATCGTTTCTCGAAATACAATATCTTTTTTATTTCGCTGTCGATAGCCCGACACGTGTTCCGCAGCCATCTTGTATTTTCTCGCGCGCGTGGGATTGTGGGATCTCTCGTATGACTGGACCTAGTTTCAAGAACTCTCTTGAGTCGATCGCGATTAAATCTCGTTTCAGTCGAGATTGAAACGGTCGATGGAGGTTGCACCATGGCGAACGGGGTATAAGGCTCTAGTTTAGTAGTGTTACAGAGTATAATACGTATTTTTTAATATATTTTTTAAAAGAAACAAAACCACCGAGAAATGTTACGTGTGTTTAACAACGGGTTCGGAAAACTTTGAAAATGTTAACAACGGGTTCGGCCGAACCTGTGCGAACCCGCTGAATATCACCACTGAATGGAATGAATAATTTGTAACGAATGTTTTTGAGGCAACCGTAATTGTAAGACCTGGGCCAAATGGCTCTACAATAGGGTCTTTATTATTTACTGTATATTATTATAATCAATACATTCCTATTTCATTCACTTATTTATATTTTATTTCTTAAGTTTCAGTCGTATTATTTTGCTCCTTAAATTTTAAATAAATTTTTCCAATACAAAATGAATGCCTAATTATTAATCTCATACAAAGTGGCATCTTAATTATATATCTTTATGCCAAATTCCTCAATTTAATTAATTAATAATTCATTTATTTCTAGCCCGAAAATTATTCGATACAGAGATGTGTTTGGTTAAATTCGAGAGATAACAATCGAATAAAAATACTCAATAAAATTAATTTTATGCAATTATTTATTTTTTTTAAATATAAGCACAGCATTTGCATCGAATGTCCAGAATAATATTCATAATTTATTATTATAAATTGATAAAATTATTTATTCACAGTAATCACCAAAGGTACAGGCTTTCTGGCAACATACGTCTGCTACGTCTGCCTTTTTTTCTCGATTAGAAGATTCTTTTTGAAGTGAATATCCGAATGATATGGTCCTTTTAGTGTTCACGGAGTGGAAAGACCCAATAATGGAAAAATACATTTCGTAGATTTTTGTGATTTCTTGTTCATCGTCCATACTTGACATGCAAATATACAGGGTTGTTGAAATTAAATTTCCCCAACTGAGAGTGCTCTGTAAAATGTTCTACTGCTCGAATTGAAACAACATTTGGACAACAGGTATTTCAGACGATACGCTCGCCATTTGTTAAATTTAAATTTCTCGTACAAGAAGTCACCGATAAGTAGTAGGTAGCTATGCAAATCACAGTTACAAATGTTCAATATGTGATCCATTCTCAAAAGCATGTTTCCCACTTCTGAATGCATGAGTTCCCTTTAATCACGAGAACATGCTTTAGATCTGATACAAATACGCATCGTTCACATTAGACCTGATATTTGGAATAATCCCATAGCCAGAAGTCATATGGGGTAAAATCAGGTAAACAACAAAGCCAAGCTGTTGGGAAGTAACGATTAATCACCCGTTAATCCCTGAAAGTCTGCCTTAACACACGTTGAACAGAGCGAGGGACGTGAGATGGTGCAACATCATTGATGAATATGGTATCTTGAAATCTTTCTTGGAGCTCTGAGATCAAAAAGTCGTTAGCATGTTAAGATACCGTTCTCCAATAATAAACACAGGTTCGTACCTATCACCCCATTAGAGTTCAGTGTTTATGCGAGTGCGGATTAAAGACAGAGTAAACATTATAGGAAATGTGTGAAATAGCTGACAATTGTATTGCTATAACTTATTGTCTTTTGTGTTTTAATAATAGTACATCTGCTTTTGGATACGAAAATATATGAGATGAAATATTTTATATTGCAGAATAACATCTTCGTCATCAATAGGATTGAAGTTTAGAATTTTATTTTTAATTAATATTCTATGTTTAATTAAGAATTAAATACAATGTCCTTATTAAATTGTTCTTTTACTTTTAGTAAAAGACGCGATTCAGAGAAAATTTCCAATGCAGTCAGAGCCATGGATTTAGCTGCGTTTAAAGTTGGTTGCTGCGCTTCCACAGAACCAGCTGCTTCGGTAAAGGCATAAGAATGATTAGGTGCTGTTGTTCCAATCGAGAATAGTGGTTGAATACTCGGTACCATATGCGATACGTTTCCTATATCCGAAGGTGCTACGAAAGGATCATAGTTGGGATTTCCATCTTTGAATTTAACTCCTGTAAAAATTATCAAATAGGAGTTACAGTTAACGGAAAATGTATATTTCTGAATAAAATATTACCTGTTTCTTCAGCGTAGTTCTTGTAAGTATTTGCCAAAAGTTCATTGGTGATGAGATGTTCGTATCGTACTTCGGTATCGTAACTCAGTTTCACTTCACAGCCTGTAGCTTGTGCTGCAGCTAAACAGCAGTCTTCAACTCTCTTTTTCAAATCTTCCAATTCGCGGGAATTATTTGCACCAATAGCATATCTTAATTCCGTCTCATCTGGGATGATACTAGGGCTTCCGCCGCCGTTACTAATAATTCCTACGTAACATACGCAGATAAAATTATTATAAATAACGAAATGATATAAAAAAATAAAATTGAATTTACCATGTATTATGCAATTTGGTTTCGATTGTTTTCGAAGTAAAGCAATATTGTTGTAACATGTAACAGCTGCATCCAAAGCGTTTAATCCTTCCCATGGATATCCACTTGCATGCGCAGCTTTTCCAAAATAATTCACTTTTAGCTATGAAAAAGTTGTAATTATTGTATTAATTTTATGAAATAATAAATTATTAAAATAGAATTACGCCTTCAAAATGACTACTTTAGTTTCTTAACAATTCAGTATAATATTAATAATAATAATCTAAAAAGAAATATTTTGGTGAATACGAGTATACAGAACACAGTGTATAATAACTATATTT